AAGTTCCTTTTTCCTGCGTTCCTCTGTATCTATGTGTGTGTGTGTGTACGCGCGCGCTCGCGAGAGTATGTGTGTACGAGAGAGGGCACGTCTCGGCCGTGTTTTTCTCTTATTACCTGAGCACACACAACGCGACGTCGTGGCCAGACGACGATAGTGAAGAGACTTTACTAGTCCAGGGTGTATGGCGTATGCCGAGGGACAATACCCAGACCAGCAGAGTGATTTGATTTTGAAGCATCTAATATTGTTGTGTAATGTAACTACCAACCAGTACATGGTATAAGCATAGGTATGCAACAAGAAAAACTATAAAGAAAGCCATAGTTAACCATCGATTTTTGTATTTTTGGTAAATATTATGACGTACAGGCTTTAAAAATTCTAAAAGATACTACCAATAATAGTTTGAATTAATTATATATATTTTTAGCAGCACTCACATTAGTTAAATAATTGTAATAAAAGATACAATTTCTGCTATACCAGTCTCATTGTTCATGCACTGACGTAGCGGGGTACTAAGATTGTCGAAAGATAAGTGAAAAGCTAAACTGAGAAGAGTAGATTTTCCGTAGCTCGCGCGCGAGTTAAACGAGCCTCGCGTATGGCTAATGAAGATTAGCTCGGTCAGATATCGTCACCGTACCGAGTGAGAGTAGTAGTGGACAAGCAAGAGCAAACAAACAGGAGCGCGAGCTTTCGACGTTGGATGGCTATATATACATACACAGGTTTAGACCGATGGCATGTTTGGCAAGGATAGTCACATCTTCATAGAGACCACACCGAACTGGCCTCGAATCCTCTCCCTCTCTCGCTCTCTCTGCCTCGGGGATATGCCCATTATGTGTGCGATCTTGGGTCGTGTCGCTTAGCCTCTATGCTTCCCCCCATTGCATTGTTTACCGTCTTGCACCGCGATACGAATGCTATCAGACTCTCGCTTTCATAAAGGGAATCCCTTATTGCTTGCTGCGACGTATATTCCCTCCCTCTCTCTCTCTCTCCCTCTCTCTCTTTCTCTTACGTGTATGTTTGAGGCAAGATTAATTGACGGCTTTTTAATGCGAAAATTGATGCGTAAATATCTCAACTGAACGACCGTTGGATACGAGAGTAAGAAAATAGGCCATAGTATAGCTATCGCCGTTGTCGTCGTCGTCTTAGGACCCCTTTTTCCCTCCCACGGGTGTTTTAGTGCCAGCAGCCAGCCAGCGGAAGAAGAATGGAATGCGAGCGCGCGGAATCCAATCGCAATAGAGTTAAGTGTTCGGAAGTAAAAGCCACCGCTCGCGTAGCAGCTGCAGCAGTAGCAGCAGCAGCAGCAGCAGCAGCAGCAGCAGCTCGACCTCGATTACTCGCCGGGCAAGGATTTGTTACAGGCCATCCTTCTTTGCCCCTTACATTGCTTCTTTCTCAAACGAAACCTACTCTACTACGACGTTCCGATAGCAAAAGGATCGCGACTCTTTTACTTTCGTTTTTTCTTTATTTTTTGTTTGTTTCTTCTTGTTTTCTTCGTTTTTACGTCATTTTCTATCGTGACGCTTGATTGGCCGAAAAAACGATCGAGGCCGTTGGATACTTTGCGCGCCCGAGTAAGTAAATAGACTGAACGTCGTTTCCGATTGAACGTGTATACTTTTTCGTACGAGCATTGTTTATTTTTCCATGGTCATGACTGGTGCGATGTCTTGCTGAATGAATAGCTTGTTGTCTTATAATACTTAAAGACGCGTAAGTAGGAAATAGACTCGCAAGAAGATCGCCAGACCTGTAGGAATCCGATTCTGATGAAACTTTAGAAAAATATTACTCATAAAATATAAAAAGTTACGTGTCTTTTAGTTTGATTTCGTAGCCCTAATCTTTGAATCTTTAAATTTATCCGAGATATTGAAAATTCCATTCCCTCTTGAACTTTTAATAACTCTTAAAAAATAAATGTATCTATCGTTATTCATATAATATAATTGTTGACTAAACTGATCAACCTTATTAAAAAAAGGCGTATTAGATAAAACGGAGAACCTCTTGTGGTTTTATTTGTTATATGGACAATTTGTCCAAATTTTTACCAAAATCAGTTAGTTTACGATATAGAAACAATTTTCCATAAAATGAGTAAAACATATCTTAAATAAAATAGAAAACGTATTCGCTTCTAAAATAGTGAAGAAAATTGAAACAGATAACTTTAGATTCGCCGAACACTTTAACGTTAACCTTCCAGATCTACAATTCTCTAAGAGCTTTCGTCTTTCTATCCTATCCTATCATCGCAGTAAAAATCTTCCGCAGGTCATAACGACGCTTGGCATTGCATCGTTACTAGCACGTGCCACACACCGGTGCTCTCGCTCGTTGCCGTAATATCACAAGAGAGAGAGAGAGAGAGAGAGGTAGCGAGGGAGGGAGAGAGAGAGAGAGGAAAAAGTTTGTCCGGCGACAGCAGTCGCGAGACGAAAAAATCATTCGACATCATTGGCTGCAATCTCATCGCAGTATAAAAATTGCGAAACTCTTCCTCTCTAGCTCCATTTGCCGCACTGAGGATAATGGCTTGAGCTATTTACGCTTTTCAGAGGCACACACTGCTCGCGACACTAACGACACTCAGTATGTGTTTGCTTGTGGTTATATTCTTTTAATTGTCAAGTGGGATGGAAGCGACCTTTTTCACTCATTCCTTTTAATTAAAAAATTCTGCACTTCAAAAACTTGAATACTGCTAAATTTAAACTTCACTCTTTAAATATTATTTGAATGCAGAAACATCATAGATTATAATCACACGTTATAATTGAATAATCAATCTTAAACTAACTTGAACAATAGATTCTTAAACCTGAATAGAAACTATTAAGTACTTAAATGTCTCAAGTAATAATATTATTACTTTTACGATGAAGCAATAAGCGATTGGAATAATTTATTTAATACCGATTCAATTACTTTATTTTATTTTAAATATAGAAAATTTTTAAGTTTGACATTAAACTTTATTACTACAACAATAGTTAGAAACGTTTTTAAAATCGATAAGTAAATTAATTTCATGAAAAATTGTATAAAAATTAGGCTATGAAAATTTTCCTGAAGAATCCATAAAAAAGAATTATAATAACCACGTTATTCGGAAAAGAAACTTAATTTTAGGGTGGTTACAGTAATAATTTGTGGAAGCTTATCTATGATCAACGTATTTTGTTGATAGAAAATTCTTGTATGCAAGACTCAGATGAGATATACTATCTTTAATTGATAAATAAATAATTTCATTGAAAATTATAAAGTTACAAATTAAAATCTGACCGGATTAATTAATAAAACTCAAGTATATTGTAGGATAACATACTCAGATATTAATCAAGCTATTACTCTTTGTTTTCGATCTTTAGCTTTTAAAACAGTCATTATTTCCAATATTAACGATGACTTCATCTGAAAAAAAAGCTATACGAATGTGTTTTTATTATCAAGGGTGTATTCACAAAGACGCCGAAAACCAGAAAGATGAAATGTCCATATCTTATAAAATCAGAATCTCGCATTCACTTATACTGTAAGAAGAAGAAAAACCTTTAACATCATTTCTCCGTAGCATCTCCATGTATTAAGGCCAGTCAAATCTTTTCATTTTCCTGGCCTTTGCGCAAAGGTACAAGAGCGACACGCTGACGTAATATCATTTAGAATTCATATTACGCGGGCGCTCGCGCGCGCATCTCTCGGCGAGAAAGATGGGAACAGTGACGACAACGAGGGGGCCGGTAAAATTGCGTTAACTCTTTTGTAAGAACGAGAGCTGTATTCCATATTGAGTGGAAAAGTTGCGTTACTCTTCCTAAGAACGAAGAAGAAGAAGCAGCAAATGGAAATAGGATTCATCTGCGATGCGATGATCTTGTGCGGTTATTAAATTTCAACTATTTTAATTACGCAGCTACTTGCGTCGGCGAAAGCTTTTCTTTTAAAAAGTTAGCGAGCACACACACACACACACATATACCTACATACACGTACCTACACACCACCTGCTTGAACATTGTACTCTCCTCTGTTATTTATCGAGCACCCATTTCCAACACACGGCGCACCGAAACCCTTTCGGTCTTAAGTTTCTCGGTGAGCGCAAAAAGACGAGCCGTTGCACGCGATTGTGCTATCAGATTATACTATGAGGGGCATTTTCCAAATTGTCTTGTTTTATTTTTTTTTTTTTTATTAACGATAAAATTTTCAAAATACATCATTCTATGTTACTTATGTTTTCCAGGTATGTGAATAATTTTATCGATAAATTAATAGATCAATCAATATATAATATTGAAGAGAAAAATCATTTTGCATGTCAAATCTCTGTATCTAATCTGATACGATTTATAATGTTAAACATATTATTGATACACAATGTTGATACAAAATCAAGGTATGAATAATCGAAAAAATAAAAAAATTTAAAAAGTAAATGAATGACATAACAAGTGTAAATATCGCAAACATTTTAATTTTTTTAAATATGATTATTGATAAAATTTCAAAATGTTATGAAATTAAAATTATATATATTTAATTCAAATTAAATTGTATATATTCACAATTATATATATAGGAACGATTGTCAATTTCGTTAGAAACTAAACAGTGAAACGAGTGGCTTATTATTAATTAGACAAGACTGCTTGTCTGGCGACTCGGATTTTAATCATTAGTAAAGCAAAGGCACAGTAAGATTATCGAAGTGAGTACACCTGGAACCTCAGTCTAATCTTATCGGCTAACGTTCAAGTGAACAGAAAACTACGTATCAAAGTCTAGCATCTGAAATTCTCCTGCGGAAATTCAGTATATAAACCGCAGATCGATATACTATCAGGTAGTTGCTACGTGATAGCCTCACGGTGAGTATCGATAGCTTTCCATTTCAATAGGCGTGAATGTAATTTGTAAATTCATTTTGTGGGATTTTTTCTCTTTTTTTTCATTTACAGACAATGAAGTTCTCTGTTGTGTTGATCACAGTCCTCGCTGTATTCGGGACACACCAGATTCAAAGTGTTCCTATTCTGTCACGAGGACTTCAACAGGATGTGCAAGATTTTTTGTCTCTTATACCAGTGGAAGAAATTACTGAATTGTTCTTCGAATATTTAGCTAATGATGAAGACTTCGGTGAGGCTATGGACTACATTTTGTCAGATGAATTTAAATCTCTGATCATTAGTGTTGAAAAAATGCCAGAAGTTCAAAATCTTTTGAAATATTTAGAAGATGCTGGTCTCAATGTTTATGAATTAATCAATAAACTCCATCATCTATTGGGAATAGATCCTATTCGACCACGTTCTCAGTACAAGATTACTGGTGGACTTCCTGGCTTCATCGAAGATCTAAAAGCCCTATTGCCACTCGAAAAGCTTCAAAAATTGTACAAAGAAAAACTTGAAACATCAGAAGAATTCGCTACGTTAATTTCGATGTTAAAATCTGCTGAATTTCAAAATTTAGTTGACCGTGTTATGGAAAATCCTGAACTCCAAAAAATAATTAATAATGCTGAATCAAAAGGTGTAGATGTACAAGCTATTTTTGATTTATTGAATACTATTCTTGGACTTAAATTTCCTCATCGGCCGTCTTTTTATTTTACTAGAAATTTAAAGAATGATTTAGATGACTTTCTAGCATTAGTACCAAGACAAGCTATTGTAGATCTTTTTTACAAATATTTATCAGAAGACGAAGACTTTGGCGAGGCATTAGACTACGTTTTATCTGATGAATTCAAGCAACTTGTGATTGACGTTGAAAGTATATCAGAAGTCAAAAACCTTCTCAACTTCCTTGAGCAATCGGGACTTGATGCTTTTGAATTCATTAATAAAATTAATGATCTACTTGGAATTCATAGAATCTCATCGGTTTCAAACTATAAGGTAACAAAGATTACTGGTGGACTTCCAGGATTCATTGAAGACATAAAGGCTCTACTTCCTCTTGATGAAATAGATGCACTTTACAAAAAGAAACTTGAAACTTCTGCAGATTTCGCCATGTTAATGGAAAAACTTATGTCTAAAGAATTTCAAGGAATTGTAGATCAGGTTCTGAAAAATCCAGTGATGCAAGATTTAATGCAAAGAGCAGAAGCTAAAGGTGTCGATGTTCAAGCAATTTTTGAATTCATAACAAACATTCTTGGAATCAAATTTCCTAGCCGACCAACCTTAATGTTGGCAAATAATTTACAAGATGATTTTAATGATTTTCTAAGTCTTATACCAATTGAAGCTATAAAGCAACTGTTCTATCAATATCTGGCCGAAGATCAAGATTTTGGTGAAGCAGTCGACTATATCATGTCAAGTGAATTTAAGAATTTTGTCGCAGAAATTGAAAATATGCCAGAAATCAAAAGCCTCGTAGATTTCCTTGAAGAATCAGGACTTGAAGCATACAAAGCTATTAACATTATTAACGATTTTCTTGGAATTGATAGAATACAACCGCTATACAATTTCAAGTTTCAAAAAATAACAGGTGGTCTACCTGGATTCATTATAGACGTTAAGGCCATTCTTCCTTTAAAAGAAATTGAAGAAATGTATCAATTAAAATTGAAAACTTCTGAAAATTTTGCGAGTTTTGTAAAACGCATTCAGTCTAAAGAAATGCAAGAACTTGTTAACAAACTTATGTCAAACCCCACTGTTCAAGACTTAATTAAAAGAACAGAAGCAAAAGGAGTTAATGTACAAGCTCTTTTCGATTTTTTGACATCACTATTTGGTTTGAAATTCCCACGAAGGTCAGTTTTATTATCACTGGGAAATTTGAAAGATGATCTTGATGATTTTTTAGCATTGATACCGGTCAAAGAAATTAAAGATCTCTTTTATGAATACTTATCAAACGATGAAGACTTTCGTGAAGCTTTAGACTACATTCAATCGGATGAGTTTAAGGGATTAGTAATGGAAGTTGAGGGATCACAAGAAGTCAAAGGTTTCCTCGAGTTTCTCGTAGCTTCTGGCCTTGACGCTTATAACTTTGTCAATAAACTCAATGACTTCTTAGGAATTGACCATATTACTCCTATTTATTTGATCAAGAACAGAAAAATTACTGGTGGATTACCAGGTTTTATTGAAGATGTTAAAGCGTTGCTGCCTTTAGACAAGATCGAATCCCTATACAACGAAAAACTACAGACGTCTGAAGATTTTAAAAATTTGATAACTCGTCTCAAATCTCAGGAATTCCAAGGCCTTGTAAACAAGTTCATGGTTAATCCAGCACTTCAAAATTTGATGAAAAAAGCAGAGGCGAAAGGTGTAAATGTTCAGGCTATTTTGGATTTCTTGACAGCGCTGCTTGGGATTAAATTTCCTCCGCGTCCACAACGATTCTTCACTACTTTTCAAACATACAGAAACGAAGAGGTGATGGAAATTTTAGAAACAATCTGGTCTATGGTTCCCACAAATGATATCGGCGATGTAGTTCTAGACTACCTTGTCGAAGACGAAGATTTCAGAAAAGTTGTAAAATATATGCTAAGTGATGACTTCAAAAACAACTTAGTTGATGTTGAAAATTTAAAAGAAACAAGGGATCTTCTGGAATTTTTGGATGTAACTGGAGTCAAAGTATACGAATATTTAAATTTATTGCACGATATACTTGACATCAATAAGAAATTTCCACTCAGAAGAAGTTTGAGAATCACTGGAGGAATAAATGGATTATTCCAAGACATATGGGCCAAATTGCCTAGAGATGATCTTTGGGCTCTATGGAATGAAAAAATGGCGACGTCAAAGGCATGGCAGGAGTTTGTAACACGGTTGGAAAAAGTGGAACTTCAAAATTTGATTAATCGTTTACATGAGCATGAAGGCTATCTTGATATTCTAAATCGACTGGAAAATATGGGTGTCGACTTTAATGAAGTTATCAGACTTATCAAGACTGTCATCGGTATTGAATTTCCGAAAAGGCCATTCTGAATAATTTTGTAAGTATATGTAGAACTTCATCTTTTTCCTTAAATATTACAATTAATAGTTTTAACTATCCATGCAAATTAATTGCTAAATAATAAAAATCGCTTTTATATTGTAATGAAATATTTATTCTAATTTTGATATTTTTAACTAATAACAATATTGTAAAACTCAAATTATATATTGATTTATTTATAGCAGATGAATTACAAGAAGAGTTCTGGAGCATAAAAGTGTGCCATAAATAACACCATATGTTACAAGAAGTAACAGTCTGAAACCGGTTACATTATTTTTTTATAAGAAATAATTAATAAATATTTATTTAACAAAATAATAACTTTACTTCTTATTTCAAATCAATGCAGAATATGTAAATATTCATTTTTATAAAAAACACTGACTAGTAAATTGAGTAACAACCTTCATTCTCCACTCATTTCATACTCCTTTAAACATCATCATAATATAACCTAGTATAATGAAAAATGGTAACAAAAATAATGACCTGAATAAGATAATACAAAATTACAGTTAATGAAATATAATTTCAATGTCAAACTTATGTCTTGTAAAATTAATGGCAATAACACGTTTCAAAGGAAAAGTAAAAGTATAATCTTATTTTGAAATCAGGTAAAATATTTGTCCTGTTTCATAATTCAAACTCGTGCACATTTGACACCTGTAGAATTTCAACCATCTCAGCTTCGGCACACATCGCCGCGAGGATGAATCAGGCGTCGATCGTTTTCAGCGTGGTCGGTGCAGTTTCGCTGCTGCTAGCAGCCCTCCTGTTCAACGGCTTTGCAATATTCCGAATTCCACGTTGGAGAGATGAGGAGAAGGACGACAACGCAAAAGACGATTCAAGCTCCCTCGAGCGGGATTTTCGGGATATCCTGAGCACTTTACCTCTGACGAAAATGCGTCTTGTCGTCGATAGATACGTTAGGTCTGACAAACAGATCAATGATACTATTGCATTCGTCAATGATCAGCAACGTTTTATCTGCATGGAACTAATGAAAATGCCGCACGTAAAATTTTTTAAAATTATCATGTTATATCTTGGACTTGAGCTTGATAATTGGATTGCAGATTGTTGTAATTTTTGGAATTCTCTGCCAAAATATGATAGTACAAATTCTTTGTCGGAGGAGGGTGGGTTAAGTAAAATGATAAATGACATTACAAGGTTAATTCCAAAAGCAGTGCTGCACGAATTGTTGTGCAGGAAACGGCGTGAATCGAAGAGTTTTGATATGTTTCTTCAAACTTTGAAATCGCCGCAATTTCATCATTTATGTACGTCGATACAGGAGAACACGGTTTTGCAACGAAACTTTCACTGGGCGAGAGAAAGTGGCCTCGAAGTCATATTTGCTGTTGAACTTATTGGCGATCTTTATGTTTATTTAACTACTGCTGTAAATTGAAGGAATCAAAGTAATAATTTGTACGGTTCTTTGACTTAAATTAATCGTGATAGAAATATTTTCATACAAGAGTTATTTCTTGAAACATCAATTGGTGAAATTACAATGTTTAAGATAATATCCATTCTGTTATCGTTACCCGGTTATAACGAACGTGTAGACAAGTGCACGAAAGGAATTCTCGAACAATACTGTAATAGGATAAATCATTTAATAAACAAAATTCCAAGATTTAACAAGCTAGGGTGAAAACTAGAGATCCCCTCTCTCTCTCTCTCTCTCTCTCTCTCTCTCTCTCTCTCTCTCTCTCTCTCTCTCTCTCTCTCTCTCTCTCTCTCTCTCTCTCTCTCTCCCTCTTCCTCCCTCCCTAGAAAAGAATGGATACCACAGCGACAGCGTCAATTTATAAATGTAGATGTGCAGAGATAGAAAAGGCAATAGAGAGCTTGAATTAGCGAACTAAAAAACGTTGTCGCACAGCAGGGTGTGAACTGTCGCCAGCCCAGCAGCGAAAACTTTCGAAGCTATTCTCCAACGAGAGAGAGAGAGAGTGAGAGAGAGACCGTAGAGAAAAAGCCTTGTCATTATTATGTATCGCGAGAGCGGCTGACGGACGAGTCCTATTTCAATTTCAGCAAGTTAATTGGAATTGTTTGCAGCAGCGACAGAGAGAGAGAGAGAGAGAGAGTCTCGCGCCTCATACAGATGTATATGTATATATTGACTATACACTCCTTGACTTTCCAGCACTAGCGCGCGCGTCGAGCCCGTCTTCCCTCGAACGGAATTAATTTCACGCGACACCTCCCGCGAAAATGCCTGTGCTCGGCACGGAGGCTTCGACCTCCCCCCTCCTTTCTTCTCCCTTCGGCACCGAGATAAGCATCGACGCTTTGTTTTACGGGCGTTTAGAGGCTTCGCTCGAGCGAGCCTGATCTGGTTACCTCTGAAGTGAGAGAGATGGCAAATTGTGAGGCTAAGTAGTTTATTAAATGCCGTCGTATTATCTTTCTTCTTTTTTGTTCTACTGGATGATTGAATTTTGTTTGATTTTCCTCTTTAAATGTTGTATTTCCGGGCTGATGAGAATTATTGGAAGTTTCTGATGAATATGAAATTTAACATTAAATGATAACTGCTTATACTGCTCATCTGGAAGCAATTGACATCGTATATTCAACTGAATAAATGTCATCCTATCTATAGATTGATTTTTTAAGACACTGAGAAATATTTATTTGCTAATTAAGCAATCGATTACAATAACACGAAATTGATGACACTGATAAATTAATTCAATTCTCTAACTAGGAAATTACAATGAATGAGAGGTCGGATGCCATTTTCGATTAATTAATAGTCGCTCGAACAGGTCAGCGCTGTGTGAAACGTTACATATGATCGTCTGGAAATCACCGTCACATGCATCAAAGGAAGCGCGTGTAGTGGAAAAACCAAAATACAGCTAGAGCCATACACAGGCAAAGGCATATCAACTCTCGTCGACATTATTCCATAATCGTGGGGGTTGCCTCTCAGCAGCAGTAGTGAGCAGAACCACTGGGCTGTCCCGCCATAATGTAACTCGTCTCACGTGAGAGGAAGGGAGAGAGAGAGAGAGAGAGAGAGAGAGAGAGAGAGAGAGAGTAGAGCTCAGACAATGGAGCTATGCTGCTCAGATATTGAAGACGCCCGAAAGCTCAGTGTGTACCAATCCCCCTCTCAGTGTGTACCTCAGAGCCGTCGCCCTCTCCCTCTACCCTAGTCTGCATTATTAAATTCAGTAGCTCTCTCTCTCTCTCTCTCTCTCTCTTTCTCTCTCTCTCCCTCTCCCTCTCTCTATACTCTTTTGCGGTAGGATACAATGAGCTCTCCTCTCTCATAGCGACAAAGTGGCCTCAGTGTTTTGGCTTCCTTCGTTTTTTGCGCTCGCTTACTCGCTTGCTTTCTTATTTAAAGGTACCGGTTATTACGGCTAGACCGTCTGATGGAAACCCGCAGGAATTAATCTTCCCGAGTGTTTACCTTTTGTTTTGTTCATGCCCGAATTTCCTTCTCTTTTTTCACCAACTTTTGCTCTATGTATACATGAGCCAAGGAAAGAATATTTGGAAGAATGTGAAAGAACGTAACGTGATGGCTTTGCATAATTATTAATCTTCGAGATTTGAGAAATAATATAATGCTTTGATCTTGTCGATGCAAACTGCTTTTCAAAGATATCGAATTAGTAGATCGAATTCGAACGAAGTTTAAGGCCTCTCCATATCACTCTAGAGAGCTATAGAGAGGTATGGAAGGATCTTAAATAATTTTTTGATTTTTATTATTTCTCCTTTCCAAGACTTTCACGTGGAAAGTGGTGGAAAATTGAAAAAGAAAGAAAATTCTAAATATTTTGCAAATGATTTAACCCACTAAAACAATATACTATAAGCACTTGCAATCTCGACAATGAACGTCTCACATGATGCATTATGTTTTAATTATTCGTTTGACAGAAGCCTCGTAATTTCGTAGGATCTCAAAACACATCCTCAATAAGCTCGTTGACAAAGCTCGCTCGCGTGTAAACATCCATGTGCAAACATTGCCAAGAGTGCACACAGCTCCGAAATGGTCAAATTTAAAGGTAGCATAATATTCGTCTGCGAAGAAAATCTCCATTATAGATATAGAAACGCGTCGTCGTCGTTGACACTGGGCGAAAGAATGAAAATTCCAAGGGACAAGCACGAGGCGCGAGAAAGACATTTAGAAGTAGGTAGCAGACTGATCCGCTTACCGGGTTTAAGTCAAGTGCCAAGAGCGCAATTCCCTACCATCCACTAGATGGGATGCTTCTCCCCTCTATCCTCCTCCTTTTCGCGCAGTAACCTTTCTTTTCTTCTTCTTTCCTTCCATTTTTTTCTTTCTCTCTCGTTCTCCCGATGTATTCCAGCTGCCTTTATTCTACGAGTCAGCTGCAGCAACCTCGCGACTCGCTCTCGTTATTAATTCTATTTACTTGCTGAAAGAATGATTTTTAATGGAAGGATTTTATTGCGGCCTTTTAAAGATATTGCCGACGCAAAAGCTTTGTGACGAGTCGAGTGAGAGAGTGAGGAATTGTTTCAGTGTCGAGATTATGGAGGAAAAAATTGAATTTAAAGATTGATGAAAGTACGAAAAATAATGAAGCCAGTTTTACCCTGAAAGTGTGAGAGAGAGAGAGAGTGAGAGAGAAAGAGAGAAAGGGATATAGAGAAAGAGAGAGAACAAAGTAGGATTTAATTACGTAAATGGAAAGAATCCTTTGCGACTATTTAATGATTCTCCTGTCAAGCTCAGATAACATTTATTCAAAGTTTTATTAATAATCAAATTTCAAACGATATTAGATCAATCATATGACTATTACAAAGCTTCTCTCAAATGAAATTATATCAATCATTTTTGTCGGAGAAAAATCCGAACAGTCGTTTCATGATCAAGCCTCATCTTTTGGTAATCATTCAAATCAAATTAACAGAGCAAAGCGGCGAAGTCGAATCAAATTGATTTCGAGGAAAAGAATCATCTACACGCTTGACGATTTACACGATCTGGAAAGTTTTAACTCGAAATTGAGTAAGTAGATTGGTCGCACTCCGATTGTTTACTCACCTTTGAAAATGTTATAAATATTATCTATCTTATAATAATAGCTATTTTATTTTAAAAAAATACTTAAATATTTCATAGAAATACTTTAGCATATATTTTTATGAGTGTTATTAAAAAATTACACTAGAAAAGTTATTTTTACCTGTAATTGTCCACCTTTCAATAATAATAATAATAACCTTGAAATAATTTGTAAAAGTTCGTTTAATGATTGAGGAGGAACTGATGAGACAGATGATAACTAAAGTTGG